AGATCTAAAAAGCGTACAGAGCGCCCTCTGGTGGATTTGTGAAAACTAAAAATGCAACAACAAAAAAAAAACATACCTCTTGGGATGTATTTAAGGCTTTCCAGAAATGTATATAGGGGCACATATTTAGAATGAGCTTTATAAAATTGAAAAAAGTCACATCAACATTTCACTGGAAGTTTATCAGTGGCTCAAAAAAACAGTAGCTGTGAATATAGGCCAGTTGCAGTACTCCAATAATTGCAGTAGCAATTTTCTTATGTTTCTGAAAGTCTCTTTTCCAAAGCTTGCATTTATTTGATCAATGGTTGATTCAATTTTTAAAGTTTTATAGTAGTTACTAAGGAGTATTTTGGGTGTTGCCCACTCCAAGTCATTATGGTTTTAGTCTCTCCCCCAATGTAAATCTGTGGGATATATTCACAAATTAAAACGCACACATTTGATATGTCAAGTTTTACATTAACATTCAATTTGTAAAAAGTACTAGTATCTCTTTCTTAAAGCACTTTTCTACTGCCTGGTATGGCTTACTTTTGTGGGGTTTACCACAGTGTACAACATCTAGCACTATTTTCAGTACCACTTCAGTTAAAGCTGATGAAGCAAGCATGGCGGATGTTAAAATGTGATGTGCAAACACTGCACACAAGACATCAATTTAAGATTTGAAACTTAGTAACTTGCTAGAATTAATTAATTAGCCAGCAACATTATCATTTCAAATGACTGCTTTAGGCAACTTTTAAATGGTTTCATGGTGGTTAGTAGAGGAGTGCAGACACACTTCTCATTTACTTTTCTCATGTACTAGTATACAATAAATAAAAAAATTTGTCTAATCAATAATATACATTTGAAAAGGTACTAAGAGCTAATGAACAAGTACTATAATTTTAGGAATAAGCACTGCTAGCTAATAAATAAGTAGAACTATTTAATGAAAAAGATACAAGTATCTATGCTAACATCGATTACTTTATATAGTCTTTATTAAATATAACTTTTCCTTTTTATAGTTTGTAATTCATTGGCCAAAAAATATAAATAAAACTGAAATATATATATATATATATATATATATATATATATATATATATATATATATATATATATATAATTTTGACTCATGAGTGTTTATTTTTAATTCCTAAATTAATCTGTTTTTTATAGATTTTTGCACTGGACGATTAATCGAAGGCAACATTTATGTGCAATTTGTCAGCAAAGCCAGTTCTACGATGTCGGCATGTGCTTTCAGATGGAGCAACAATTACAACACAGGCACAGTCGAGGTACCCCAACAAGCTATGCAAAATCGTGCTTAAAATCAAAACAAACTTAATCAGACTATAATTATATTTACATCATTGTGGGCCATGAAAATACCACATTTAAAAAACGTATTTTTTTTCCAAACTCACTTTATAACTTTAGTAATGTTCGAAATAAGTCTCTGAGACAATTTGCTAGTCATGTTACAATGCAACGCTACGAGGATTTCCTGCACGAGAGCACCCTCTGGCCTTTGAAGATTTACTACTGAACATACAACCGTGCTTCTCTGACAAGATTTGCATGAAAATTGCTAGCATGAACAATCATATTTTAGATTTAACTTTGAAGGGAATTCGCTGGACAAAATATATGCTGGAATAGTTGGTGGTTCATTCCGCGGTGGTAAACAAAGGACTAAGCTGTATATGAATTAATGAATAGTAATCATGAATAATAATAAATAATTAGCATAAACAATAAATTCTATAGTAGGATAGTGTTCTGACAGCCATGTGTGTAAATTAAATTGATCTCCAAGGCATTAACTATTCAATTTATGGCATAAAATTAAAAGCACACATCTGTTTAAATAAAGCATCACTAATAAACCATGGTAGTTACATCCAGAAACAATCCCACAGAGATCTACGTGACTGTGCAGAATCATGACCACTCCTCTAAGCCCAGTAATTTACCAGGAAACATCTGTTATTGTGAAAGTCATAGGGACATTGCATTTGTCAAAACAATCCAGATGCAAGGATGCATATCAGAAAAATGCAGGTGCATGTCGCAGTATTTATCAACATGAATAGAAAGGCACTAAGGACACCAGTGGCCAGTGTTGCTAAAATTAACACACCATGTTGTCCTACAAAAACCACACTAGGGCACTTGAAGCAGCTAAATCTCATGCAGCGAACAAATGGAGGAAACTGAGCTAATCACAAATACAGCGAATGGTGGACTCAATGCTAAATATGTCCTGTACAGTGATAGGTTTTTAATGGAACGCTTAATCAGGGTTTATAGTCTTTAAATCTAGAGTTGAAGGCAGCTCTTGCTAGTTAGTTCTGCTTTTATGGTGCCAACTGTGTGAAACGTGTGGCTCAAAGTAATGCTAAATGTTGTGTAGCAACACACAGGCAATGATAAACCATAACAGTTACTATTTCAATGCTCATGTCAATAAATATGTATGTACCGATGAGTTTTAGAATTACACTTGAGTTACATACAACAGATCTAAACATGCTACAGCATGCATTTTCTTCTTCAAACTCAAAGCCAAAAACATACACAGCTTTTACAATTAAAAACAGTTTGAGTCATTTTACTTGTATAATCAATACTATAAAACATCACGATCATCCCAAAAACTTGAAATTAATGTCAAATCCCACTATTACTAACTACTATTACTAACTAATTAACATTCATTGTGAAACATGTATATGTAAGATAACCTGAAGTGATGTTAACAGGACTAATGAGAATTGATCAGCCAAAATGAACAGAAGCTTTACAGAAGGAACTAAATGATGAGGAAACCCAACGCTGTGACCTCATTCAACAACATACTGGAGGTCAGCGCTCCACAAGAGAGGAGGAGTATGAGAGAAAACTGGGACGAAGAAAAACAGAACTAAATGATGCAGAGAAAAAGCTCAAGAATGAGAGAATAAGAGGAGAAAAGTCAGGAGAAACTCCAAAAAGCACAACAATTTCTGTATCAACACCTCACAAATAACACGGATGGATGGATGGCTGCAGTCAAAAGATAGATGGATGGATGGCTGCAATTCGATAGATGGATGGAAGAATGGATTGATGCGATAGATTGATCATGGATGGATAGATGCAATTGATAGATAGATTGATGGATGGATAGATGCAATCAATATAGATTGATGAATGGACGGACAGATGCAATCGATAGACTGATGGATGGATAGATGCAGTCGATAGACTGATAGATGGATAGATGCAATCGATATAATTGATGGATGGATGGATGCAATCAATAGATTGATGGATGGATGGATGGATAGATGGATGCAATCAATAGATTGATGGATGGATGGATGAATAGATGCAATCGATAGACTGATGGATGGATAGATGCAATCGATATAATTGATGGATGGATGGCTGCAATCAAAAGATTGATGGATGGATAGATGCAATCGATATAGATTGATTGATGGATGGACAGATGCAATCGATAGACTGATGGATGGATAGATGCAGTCGATATAATTGATAGATAGATGGATGGATGGATGGATGGATGGATGGATGGATGGATGGATGGATGGATGGATGGATGCAATCAATAGATTGATGGATGGATAGATATATGCAATCGATATAGATTGATCGATGGATGGATGGATAGATGCAATCAATAGACAGATTGATGAATGGATGCAATAAATAGATGGACATGCAGGCAGGCAGGCAGGAGATAGATAGACAGATAGACGGATGGATGGATGGATGGATGGATGGATGGATGGATGGATGCAATTGATACATAGAATGATGGATGGGTGGATGCCATAGATAGATAGATAGATAGATAGATAGATAGATAGATAGATAGATAGATAGATAGATAGATAGATAGATAGATAGATAGATAGATAGATAGATAGATAGATAGATAGATAGAATGGATGGATAGATGCAATCGATTGACAGATTGATAGATGGATGCAGTCGATGGATTGATGTATGGGTGGATGCGATAGATAAATGAATGGATAGCTGGATGGATAGATAGATAGATAGATAGATAGATAGATAGATAGATAGATAGATAGATAGATAGATAGATAGATAGATAGATAGATAGATAGATAGATAGATAGATAGATAGATAGATAGATAGATAGATAGATAGATAGATAGATAGATATACGGATGGATGATGGATGATAGATAATATATGATGACGATAGATAGTCCCTGCTTTTTCAACCAATTAACTTATTGCACACAAAAAAATCTGTTCAGGAATGCACATAATACACACAGCTTAAAGGGACAGTACACCCCAAAATGAAAACTCACTGATTATTTACTCACCCTCGAGAGGTTCTAAACATTTGTGGGTTATTTTTTTCTGAAAGAAATAAGATATTTTGAAGAAAACTGGAACCATTAACTTCCATAGTAAGAAAAACAAACTCTATGAAAGTCAGTGGCTGTGTTTACAGCTTTCTGCAATATATCTTTTTGTGTTCAACAGAAGAAAGTTTCGAGCGAGTAAATGATGACAGAATTTTCATTTTTGGGTGAACTGTCCCTTTAAGTTCACTATGCACTTTACACACTGTATACTCAACAGCCAATTTCAGCACAAACTGTTTAAACACATGCATGCAAACTTTCACACTTACTCTCTCGCTTGTTTGAGTGTGTAATAGTGCTCTCTGTGCACTGTGACTTACCTTTGCTCTCAGCAGGCCTCTCACACCAGGAAAACAGCACACACACACACACACCCACTCACTAACAGCATCATTTAGAGCAGAGTCAAAAGCGCTGCATGTGCATTTACAGCAGTTCACAGCTCTGTTAAAGCACACCAGCACAAACTGCATGTGCACAAGATCATCACTTTCCCAAAAGAAATCTTTAAAGCATCTAGGAGTCACATGCCTGTCTGGAAGTCTTTCCCGTTATACCGAACACACTATCCAAGTGGGAATTTATAC